TTACATCAGGACAAAGGGTCTCAAAGGAAAGGAACAAGTTGAATCCTTGAAGTCCCCAACTAGTGTGCTCATGGGCAATGCTTGCATCTAATAAAATAATTAATCATTCAACAAAAATATTTAGAGATCCTTCTTCAATTTGCGTCTTCACTTCGGATGAACCTGCAAAGCCCCGAGGTAGGTCCTTGGGGTAGACACTCCGATGCTTAAGTCAGCAATAATCGGGTCTATCTCTGTATTAATGAAAAAGGAGCTTTAGGATGGTTTCAATTACCTTTTTAACGTGGCCTCTGGGGGATATTTATAGGCTTCAGTGAGGAACCCACGTGGCATGCCAAGCAAGATAATCGGACACTGACGTGTCTCTGCAGACGGTTATTTCGGGACCGAGAAATTGAGAGATATTCAGATGTGAGAATGTCCATCGTGACTGCTGTGCAATTTATTATAAGGAATTAGGTGCGGGCACGCTTATTGTTGCTGTCATGCAGTTGTTTGAGCGGGAAGTGTTGGATTTATCCTTCACTTCAGTTATAAAAGAATTACTATCGTACGTCCGAGGTTGGGCACCTCGGACCTATCCTTACACTATTCCCCCCTCGAAGTCATTCACTTGTGAATGATGTTGTTAGAGATAATGGGAGTAGTGCATAAATAGAAAGGAAGGGGGATAAAAATATTAAAGATGAGTTATAGAAGTAAAAGTAAAAATAAAAATCTGTAACTCAAATGCATGTATGGCCGTAGCTAATAATGAAGTATGTGACAGGGGGTCATGTTGGCGATGCCCAAAATAAAATGTGACTGGAGCGATCGTGGCCGTAGCCGTGGTAAAATTAGTGACCGGAGTCAATGTGACCATAGCCGTGGTAAAAATAGTGACTAGAGTCAATGTGGCCGGAGCCATAGTAAGAAATGATGACCGGAGTCATGGTGGCCGGAGTTGTAATAAAAAATGATGACTAGAGTCATAATGTAACCAGAGCCGTGATAAAAAATAATGACTGAAGTCATAGTGGCTGGAGCCGTGATAAAATATAATGACCGGAGTCATAGTGGCCGGAGCCGTGATAAAAAGTGAAACGTGTGACACTGGGTCACTATGGTCGGAGCCGAAGTACAATATGTGACAAAGAGTCACAATAGCCTGGGCCGAAGTAAAATATGTGACAATCACAGTGGCCGGAGCCAAAGTGAAACACTTGTAAGTTAAAAATATAATTGTGAAAGTAAACAGAAGTGTTGAGGTGGGCTTAAGTGGGCCTGTTTATAAAGTCTGACGTAGAGTTATTATGTGACATGACAGTTGTCTGTCGAAAGACGTGTACAATTAATACGGGCTGAAACAAGTAATTGTGACAGTCAGACAAACGGAATTAGGAAACGAACTGTCGAATTCAAACGGCTCCCGTTAGGGTTACACAGTTGAATTCGAAACGGCGTGAATAAGGACCATAAGATTAAACGAATTCCAGCCGTTGAGATCTAATTTTGCCCGGAGGTATAAATAGTCATTTTTCTGTAAAAAGAAGTTTACTTTCATTATATTTTCTGCAAAATTTCTGTGAAGACTTTGCTGTGTGCTTCCTGGGCCTGAACTGCTGCATCGTTTGTGGATTTCTACATCGAGTTTTCGAAACTGAAATCAGGTAATGTATATGATTCTCTTATTTTGGTTTTAATGAAGTGTCACTCTTCTTTCTCCCTTTCTGTGGTTGATTTTGAGTCCTCTGAAGGAAGTTAGGGTTGGGAATGAGAATGATATTGATTTTGCGTTAGAGTTTTTTTGTTTTTTTTTTTTTTTTTAAGGGGTCCTGACTTCATTCCTCCCCCTACTTCATGCAGAAATTGAGAAAATGTCTTCAGAAGAAACAGTAAGTGTTGTAGGAAGTGAGGTAATGCCTCTTAAGTATGGTGGGATGGACTCAGAGAGCAGTCCATCTAATTCGGAGAGGACGGTGGAGGGGGTGGGAGAAGGTGAGGTAGTTGGAGTTGGGGGGGATAGTGTACCCATCACTGTGGTAGAAGTGGTGAGTATGGTGGGATGGACTCAGAGAGCAGTCCATCTAATTCGGAGAGGACGGTGGAAGGGGTGGGAGGAGGTGAGGTAGTTGGAGTTGGGGGGGATAGTGTACCCATCACTGTGGTAGAAGTGGAGGGTAGGAGAGAGAGGTGCTATGATGTAGATGCAGACATAGTGGAGGAAGTGAAGCAGTATAAGTTTGAACTCGAGACTAGGGATAGTCTGGGTTATTTGGTGGAAAATTATGACATTTCATCCTGAGTTTTGATTAGGCCAGCTGGGGTAGAAGAGAGGGCGTGTTCTGCCCCTCGGAATCATTGAATGCCCGTGTATGTCCACTATTTGGCAACCGGGCTTAAGTTTCCAATTCTTGAGTTGCTAGTGGGTTTGTTATTAGATTACAATATAGGGTTGACACAGTTAGTCCCTAACGCTATGAGGGTAATAATAGGATTTTTAGTTTATTGCTGAGCTCAGGGGATTAATGTGCCAACTGTAAATATGTTTAAGTATTTTTTTGTTTTAAAGGGGGGTAGTAGGAAAGATAAGGGGTGGTATTATTTCACCCCTAGGGTAGCAAATAGGGAGAGTAGGGCTTTATTTACTGTGGGTCCTTCATCTATTAAAGGATGGAAGGAAAAATTTTTCTTTGTAGATGATACGGAGTGGGAGAGAGGGGATGCCGAGGTAGAAATGTTGTCTTCCTGGAAGGCTAAGAGAGCCAACCAGAATAAGTTTAGTTTAAATGAGGATGAGGAGGAAGAGGTGGGGAAGTTGGTGAGGGAGTGGGGGAATTTAGTGAACATCATGTACCTCACCAGCGCAGAATGCATAGAAGCTGCTGAGCTCTATGGGCCAAGCGCTTTAAGTGAAGGTTTGTTTAAATTGCATATTGTAGTGTTTAATGTAAAGTATAGAGCTGTGTGATTGATACTGTGTTTTCTTGTTTTGCAGCTGAAATGGACAAATTTTTGAGCGTTGCTGGAGGAGTGGCCATCCCCAAGAAGCCAAGGAAGAAGTCAAAGACTTCAACCAAGCAAGTGGATGAAGGAGGAGTTGGAAAGGAGGTAATGCCCAGCACTTCAGCTGGGGTGGAGGAAGAGGTGCCACGGCTGGAGTTGAAGAGGAAGGGTAGGGAGGAAGGAGAGGCACTACAAAAGAAGAAGAAGGTGGTAGAGGAAAAGGAGAGGGGGAGTGAGGTTCCCCTGTTTGTACCTCGGCCTCCTCCTGTTGAGCTCGACCCTGAGCTAAGGGAGTTTGAGGAGGGGGCGGAGGTACGAGCTCCCGGTAAGGGAAAGGGCCTTGTTCCCCCGTTATCCTTTCAGAGTAGCCTGTTCGAGGCCAAGAACATGACGGGGGCCAGGAGGTTTATCAATTCCACGTTCCCCGAAGTGGACAAGCGTCACGCACGGGACGAGGCTCTGAGGTACTGTGGGGCTTCGGTGGTGAAGCACGTTTTGGAGGTATGTTTAGTTTATTTACTTGTAGTTATTGGTGTGTTTGTTTTTTGTTGTGTTGTGTTTTTTAAAATTCTGCTTGACTTGCAGAGCGCAAGTTGGGTGAATGGTCTAGCCCAGAAGTTCATGGAGAGTGTGAAAGAGCGCTCCCTCTTGCAAAGGCAATGTGACCAGCTGCAAAAGGAGAAGGAAGAGCTGGAGAAGAAAAATAAAGAAATGCAAGAGGTGCTGGACGAGGTGGTTCCAGCTGTGAAACGGCTAAAGCAAGAGAGGGCTTTTCTGAGCAGCAAGCTCGTCTTTGAGGAGAGCAAAAGAAAAATCTCTGAAAGCGAGCGTGAGGCTCAGGAGAAGGAAATAACGCTGATGAAGGAGGCTTATGTGGAGCTGAAGAAGAATGTGCAGCTATTGGTGCACAATGGGATGGAGGAGCACATCAGCAACTTCGTCAGCTCCAGCTCGTTTGACAACATCGTCAACCTCTACCGGCTGCCAACTGCCATCCTCGCCTTCACAGACTGCAGAAAGAAGGGGAATGCTGAATATCCCGAGGTGGATATTACAAAGATCACCTTTGGCGAGCAAGAAGAGGGAGTGAAGGAGAATGGTGAGAGCATGTCAGCAGACTTCCGTCCTCAGATCAAACTAAGGTGGGATCGTGATGCAAACGGACGCACTATTTTCCCTCTAAAGTTTGACTTTGAGTTCGTTGCAGTGGAAGAAGAAGAGGCAGAGGTAGAGGAAGATGAAGTGGGGGCAGGAGTGGAAGGAACTGAAGTGGAGGAGAGTCAACCACCTCAGCCAATGGAGATTCATCCAGTTCCTTCTGACGATGAGCAGCCTCCTCTGCCAGACGAGCAGCAGCCAACACAGCCACCTCTTCTAGCTGAGCAGGAGCCAATTCAGCCACCTCCTCCAGTAGAGAAATAATTTTTTTTTTAATTTTTCTTTGATATTTTTATTGTAACAATAGTAAAACAATCTGTTGTAATACTTTATTTGAATAACAATTTTGTTTTTGAAATCAAGTGTTGTGTTTACTTTACGTTTTTGTTGTCTTATATTAATAGAAGAACTGAGATTACTTGAGATATGTTTTGAAGGAAAGTTAATCATTTCAGAGATGAAATAAAAAGAAGTTAATCACTTCGAAAATGAACTAAGGAGAAGTAAACCACTTCAGACGAATTAAGAAGAAGTAAATCACTTCAGATGAATTAAAAGAAAATAAAGCACTTCATATGTGAAGTGACATTCATTAATAGGAGTGAAGTTCAAGGAATGAGTGTTGAATTGATTGACCTCGGATACACTGAATAAGAGGTAAAATGAATATCAACAATCACGAAATAATAAGTGTAAAGGGCAGTAAGACATAGATCACTTGAAAGAATTTTATTTGGGGTAAAATTTCTTCAAGTTATTGATATTCCAGACTCTAGGAACTCTCTTCCCTTCAGTGTCTTGGAGGACATAGGCACCAGGATGTGGCACCTCGGCCACCGTATAAGGGCCTTCCCAGTTTGGGGCCAGTTTGCCAAAACGAGTTTCAAACTCTGTTAGACCAGCCTTTCTAAGAACAAGGTCTCCTACTTTGAATGTTCGAAGGCGGACTCGTTTATTGTAGAAGTTGGCTAATTTCTGCTTGTATACAAGAGTTCGAAGTCGTGCTTCTTCTTTGACTTCGGCAAGCAGATCAAGGTTTTCCCAAAGTAGCTGTCCATTTCGTCCTTCATCGAAATGGGTGACCCGGAAGCTTGGGACTCCTATTTCAATAGGAATGACTACTTCGGTACCAAAGGCTAAGTGGTAGGGTGTTTCACCTATTTCATGAAATTATATTCTTTAGAATATGCTTTACATATTATGCATATTTGATCTAGGGTAGAGTCGCAGGTGAGGAAGTAACATAGAATAAAAATAAAACGAAAGGAACTTGGTTTGAAAATAGTACATGTGGCAATTTTGCTCGTTGTTCTGTATGCTCAGAGGACATTGTTGAGCTCGTCTGCCCACTTGGCCTCGTGCTATTCCAATCTCGGCTTTATACCTTCTAAAATGCATTTATTAACAGATTCTACCATACCATTTGACTCCGGATGGTAAACCGAGGTGAACTACAATTTGATCCCGTAGCTGGAACAAAAATCTCAGAATGAGGAGCAGTTGAATTGAGTTCCATTATCAGCCACAATCTGATTCGGGATCCCATATCTACAGATGATCGAGCTAAAAACAAAGTCTTCGGCCTTCTTGGAGGTAAGATTGGATAATGGCCGAGCTTCAACCCATTTTGTAAAATAATCCACACCAATAATCAGATGGGTTACACCACCAACCCCTTTCATGAATGGGCCCAAAAGATCCAATCCCCACTGAGCAAATGGCCATGGTGCTACCAAGTTCGTGAGCTCTGCTGTTGGTTGGTGAGTCAGATGTGTGAAGAATTGACACTTCGAGCATCTTTAAACAAAGTGAGTAGTATCTTTGTATATGTTTGGCCAGTAGTATCCCTGCCTTAAAACTTTATGAGCCAGAGTTTTAGCACCAATATGGCTCCCACAGACACCTTCATGTACCTCCCGAAGCGTGTACTCAGCTTCGTAGGGATTAAAGCACCGTAAAAGAGGGAGTGAGAAAGATCTCTTATAGAGGACCCCATCAATGAGTGAATACCGAGATGCTTTCTTCTTCAGCTTCATTGCCTCCTGCTTGTCCTCAAGTACTATACCATCTCGTAAAAATGAGATAATTGAGTCAGTCCAGCTCGGCGTGTCTAGGTTTATGCTGATCTCCATCATCCGTGGCTTCATGAAACTTGGTTCATCTAAGACTTTGACAAAAACTGATCTGGAGCTTAAGGAACTATCAGAGGTAAACTTAGAGTGAATCTGCCTGTTCATTCTCAGTTCGGGGAATTTTGTTCAGACAGAATTTCTGAAATTTGCACCTCAGCTCGGCCACCAGGGCTACATATTTCACTATCACAGAATCAACGACTTCGTAGATTGAGTTGACTTGATTAACCACAAGCTAGGAATCACTGTACACTTGGATCACCCTAACTTTGAACTCCAATGCTAGTTGTAGACCAGGTAGCAGAGCTTCATACTCGGCCATGTTGTTTGTTGCATCGAAGTTAAATTTCAGAGCATGCTCACTTCGGTATCCATCTAGGCCAATTAAGAGAGTACCAGCTCCTGAACCCTTGCTACTAGATGCCCCATCAACATATAAGGTCCAGTTGTTGGGCTCTGGATTAGGGGTTGAATGACATGGAGTGCATTCTACAATAAAATCTGCGAGTGCTTGAGCTCGGATTGCAGATCTCTGCTAAAATGTTATCTCAAATTCCCCAAGTTCCACTGCCCACTTAATTAATCTTTCGGAGCACTCCGGCTTCTGTAGAATCTGTCGAAGAGGTTGGTCTGTGAGGACGATGATTGGATGTGACTGAAAATATGGCCTCAACTTCCTAGCCGAAGTGACAACTGCTAATGCTGCTTTCTCAGCAATAGGATACCTCAGTTCTGCACCATGCAGCACGCTGCTAATATAATAGATTGGCTTTTGTTGTTTGGCTTCCTCTCTCACCAGAATTGAACTAATGGCTTCATCTGAAATTCCCAGATACAAATAGAGAATCTCTCCATCTATAGCCTTAGTCAGTAGAGGTGGTGAGCTAAGATAAGACTTCAGCTCTTCAAATGCGGCTTGGCATTCTTGATTCCATTCAAACTTCTTTTGTTTACCTGATTCGTCTTTCTGGGCAGCTGACCTCATAATCTTGAAAAATGACAGGCACTTATCTGTTGACTTTGATATGAACCTATGAAGAGCTGCCACCCTTCCACTTAACCTCTGTATATCTTTCACTGACTTCGGCGGTTCCATCTCGGCAATTGCTCTGATCTTTTCTAGATTGACCTCAATCCATCTTCGGGAAACCATGAAGCCTAGAAATTTTCCAGACTCCACACTGAAGATGCATTTGGCTGGGTTTAACCGCATTCTGTTCTTTCTGAGATTGTTGAAAGTTTCTGAGATTATTGAAAGTTTCATCGAGATAAGCTAGATGGTCTCCTACTTTCAGGCTCTTTACCACAATATTATCGACATAAACCTCCAGATTCTTGCCGATCTGAGCTCGGAAGACGATGGTCACCATTTTCTGATAAGTAGCACCTGCATTCTTTAAGCCAAATGGCATCATGACATAGCAATAGATATCATCACCAGCATAGAACGAGGTTTTCTCTTCGTCTTCTGGAGCCATCGGCACCTGGTGATACCTAGAATATGCATCCAAGAGACTTAATCTCTCATTTCCTAAAGCCGCTTCAACCAGTTTATCAATGCTCAGCATCGGGTAGCAGTCCTTGGGGCAAGCTTGGTTGAGATTTGTGTAGTCAATGCACATTCACCATTTACCATTTGCCTTGTTCACTAGCACTGGGTTAGCCACCCATTCGCAATAATCAACTTTTCTGACGAAACCAGCTTGTAGAAGTTTCTCTACCTCTTCCTTTATGACCTGAAGCCTCTTCCCCCCGAAGAGACGTTGCTTCTAGGCTACTGGTTTCTTCAATGATTGGTGCTAAGTTTATGTTGAGATACTGAGGTTGGAATTCTTGGCATGTCTGCCGAAGTCTAAGCGAAGACATCATTGTTAGCGCAGAGAAAAGCTATTAGCTCTGCTTTTTCCTCCGGGCTCAATCGTGTTCCGATTTGTGTCTTTCTGTTCAGATCTTTGTCGTCAATGGGCACTTCCTCGACATCTTCGACTGGAGCAGCTCTGGTTTCATCTTCTGGTCGGTTATCTACTATTTCAACACCCATGACTTGCTGATTATCAAAAATCCGTTGGGGAATGGCCTCGGGTGTTTGATCTTTGCCCTTCTGAGGTTGTGTTACCGAGGTGATATAGCAATGTCTAGCCACCTCCTGGTTGTTTCATAGTGTCGCTATTCCCATAGGAGTTGGGAACTTTATGCAGAGGTGAGACTGGAAAACCACAGCTCGGATTTCAATCAATGTGGGTCGGCCAATGACAACGTTGAAAGAGGACGCCATCTTGACTACTAGAAACCAAACTGAAGGAGTCACATATGTTCGGCCACTTCCAAATGCAACATTCATGGTCAGGACTCCTTCAACTGGAACTGGTTGGTTGTTGAATCCATAGATAGAACCATCGTACCGCTACAACAAAGCTGGATCCAGCCCAAGACTCTAAAAACAACGGAAGTACATGATGTCTGGTGCACTCCCTGTGTCAACAAGGACATGTTGCACCTCACAATTGTTAATCATGACAGAAGTGACTCGAGGGTCATTGTGAGGTGTGACGACTGTGTCGAAATCAGCAGATGTGAAAGTAATGGGTTGATTCTTCCAATCAGCATCGTCAAACTTCCGTTTCTGAGCTCAGTTTTGATGTTTAACCTCTCTAACATACAACTTTCATTGTTTAGAGCTCAATCCACCCACTCCTAGGCCTCTCGTAATCATGTGTATAATTCTGGCTGGCGGTGGAAGTGGAGGTGGGGCTTGTTGATGCCCTACTCCTTGCTTGTTTGGTGGATTACGGATTCCTTGGGGCTGTGGCCCCTGTTCTCTGACAAATCTTAGCTGTTCAGTTCTCTATATGTACTCATTCAACATTCCCTTCTGGGTTAGACTTTCCAGCTCAGACCTCAAGCTGTTGCATTGCTCTGTTGTATAACCATGATCTTGATGAAAATCGCAATATCTAGTATGATCTCGGCTAGCAGCAGTAGTTCTCATTGGTCCAGGACGCCTTAAATCCATCTTATTCTTAATCTGCATGAAAATCTGTGACCTTGGCAGATTAAAAGGAGTCCAAGTAACTGGAGGTTTACTTGCAAACTGTTGTGGAGGTGTTGAGTTCGGCCTTCCGAATCTCGGTGTGAAGGTTGACATCGGACCTCGGTTCTGTACTGTCCTCATCCGTTTCCTGCTCTGATTCTCATTTCTCCAGTTTGGGTTTTGGTTCTTAGAGGGGGATGGCTTCTGCGACAAGGCATATTCCTCAGCAGTTATGAATTTCAGGGATCTATTATTTACCTCGCTAAAGGTGGTGGCAGGATGCTTGAGCAGACTATCTCTGAATCTCTCATGGTTAAGACCTGAGATCACAACTGCAATTCCCACAACCTAGTCAAAGGAGCTAACCTCCAGTATTACATCATTGAATTTGCTCATATAATTCTTCAGAGATTCTTCACCCCTTTTTTTGACTCGCATCAGCTCAGAAGTAGTTTTCTTGATCAACCTTCTACTGGAAAACTTTGTGGCAAAGACAGATGTCATTTCTGTATAAGAGTTGATTGACCTTGAAGGTAGAATGTAATACCAAGTTTGAGCATTACCTCGGAGAGTAGAGGGAAAGATTTTTCACATCAACGCGTCAGAGGCGTTCTGAGCTTGCATACAAGAGTAGAAAGCATTTAGGTGATCATCGAGGTCCTTCGTCTCATCATAAGTCTCAAGCTGAGGTATTTTAAAGCTAGCAGGATAGGGTTCCAATGTGATGTTGGTGTTCAGAGGATGTGGTATGGAGTCAGCAGTATGGTGTGGAGGTGGGGCACCTTATTGTTCAGCTACCAAATTTTCTAAGCTGTCCAGACGTCGAGTGACATCATCAAGAAAGGGTTGCTGAGCTGGTGCTATGTGAGATTGACCTTGAGATTCACTAAGAGCAGGAGCATGTTGAGCTGGCTGAGGGTCTTGCTGTGGAGTTGGGGGTTGTGGAGCAAGGTTGAGTAAATTGATGAGGGGATCACTAGGGTTGTTTCGAGCCAAGAGCTGAGCCAATACTAACTGAAAGACACCAAACTGTTGTTGCATGGCAGCAAGTTGAGCTGTAACTACATCTTGGTTGGCGGTGGAAGCTGAGTTGTGAGTTGAGTTGTGAGGTTGGTTCTCATCTCCTCCTTCTCCATGATCAACATGAGGGAACATATTTAGAATCTAAAGTGGGAGGGGAGGTGGGAGATTGTTGGGGAGTTGACCTTGTCCAAGAGGCAGAGATGGATTTCCAGCTCGGACTGATCGAGTGTTAACCATGATGAGAGAGCAACAAGAGAGCTTTCAGTTTGGTTTCCCACAGACAACGCCAAATGTAATTGCACCAAACTAGAGATCCTTCTTTAATCTGCGTCTTCACTTCGGATGAACCTGCAAAGCCCCGAGATAAGTCCTCGGGGTAGACACTCCAATGCTTAAGTCAGCAATAATCCGGTCTATCTCTGTATTAATGAAAAATGAGCTTTAGGATGGTTTCAATTACCTTTTTAACGTGGCCTCTAGGGGTATTTATAGGCTTCAGTGAGGAACCCACGTGGCATGCCAAGCAAGATAATCGGAGTCTGATGTGTCTCTCCAGACGATTATTTCGAGACCAGGAAATTGAGAGATATTCAGATGCGAGAATGTCCATCGTGACTGCTGTGCAACTTATTATAAAGAATTAGGTGCGGGCACGCTTATTGTCGCTGTCATGCAACTGTTTGAGTGGGAAGTGTTGGATTTATCCTTCACTTCAATTATAAAGGAATTACTGTCATACGTCCGAGATTGGGCACCTCGGACCTATCCTTACAGAAAGGAACAAGTTGAATCCTTGAAGTCCCCAACTAGTGTGCTCATGGGCAATGCTTGCATCTAATAAAATAATTAATCATTCAATAAAAATATTTAGTTTCCCAAGTTTTCTTTTTTTTTATTGAACGTTGGGTACTCGAACCTCACATCTATTAAACTTAGCATGAGAAGTCTTTTATAAAAAAAAAAAAGTGACCATTAGGTCACGAGGACATTCTCTTAATTTCCCAAGAATTAATTGCATGAGAGTGTGAAATTATTATAATATATGCAATAATTTATAAAGGGGATTTATGTCATATATAATAAAAGTTCCTTTTTCATTTGG